CCTCCTGTTCTTCTTTTTGCGGATACAGACTAACACGGCTGCTACTCTGAAACCTATGGGGTCATGGTTTGTAAACGTTATCTTTTATATTGAGAGTCCACTGTAGCAAGTATGGTGGCAGGATGTTCTTACTTGTGGCCCTCAGCTCTGGAAAATGCTTCCTCCATGGCTTTGAAAGAACCTGAATTTGTTGCCCTCATGGATATCATAGAACTAGAAGGGACCTCGAGAGGTCATCTAGTCCAGTCCCCTGCACTCATGGCAGGACTAAGTATTATCTATGTTGCATAGTGTATCAATTTACAAAGGCTTTTGCCCAAAGGGTGTTTTGAATATGGGTGTTCTTCTGGCTTGTGAAGTTTCTTTGGACTTGTCATTTTGTTAACTGAGTTTGTTTTAATTTGTAATTGTGGCATGGAGGGTGTGACTTCTGTGACTTGACTTATTAATGGCTAGATTCTGTGCCCCTTACACAGTACCTTACATCACAGTTAGTTCCACTGGTCTCGATGGGCCTATTCTGAAAGATACTGCGCACTGTGACTAGGACTGGCCCAATCTGCACCAAAATGCTGACTATGAAAAAGATGATTACAATTCAGGGTTTATAATCAGAAATACTTCACAATGTGAGTGAAAGTCTGTGAATCATGTACTTAAAGATGTGTGGTCTACAGTTATAATAGGACGTTAGCCACAGGTTCTTGGGGCCAACAGGTAATCCCTCTCTGATTTTTTGAGGGAAGAAGTACAAGTATGTTAACCTGTGCGGTGATCATGTAGTTTATAAAGTGCATAGCATTCAAAGATGACTTTTTGAGGGTCACAAGAGAAAACAATGTTATCACCAGTGATTTTGTGGTAGCATGCATGGTCTGGAATATAGCATTTATCTGCCCTGAACATGTCAGTTCCCAGTGATCTGGGTTTAGTGTAGAAAGAATAGAGATGTCACAGCTCTTTTTGGCTGAGGCGGTATGGTTAATGTTTTGTCTGTGAGAAGGATGGAGCCCAACTGCTATACACCTTTAATCTTGTATCTTCTTTCCTGTGAAGCCTTTGTAATTCATAACACAATCACGTTACTCAGGAATGTTTCTTTAGATAGATTCTATCTCTGAGAGCTTAAGTCAAGGGATTTTCAAACAGTCACTTGATTTATGTATGTGAACATGTAGCTCATAAAAGGACTTTATTTTACAACTTCTTTAGCAATATAGGGAAGAAAACCCCAAATCATAATTATAACTCAGCTATTATTATTTTTCTTTTATTCA